ATAAATATGCTGCTTCTTTTAAGACCAAAATGAGCATTTATCTAAATTATGAAATGCTCTGGCTGTTTAGTTTCGATTTCGTTTCTCCGTCAATTCTCACAGGTGTCAAAGCATTCAATGGTGTACTTAAATTCTTCAAGGAACTTCCTAGAAAGTACCATGAGTAAATTTCTCGGAAAAATGTTTTTAAGCAAAAACATTAACATTTCTTCTAGAAATTAAAAACAAGTTAAAAACATTTCTCCTAGAAATTTGGTTTCTTCTGATGTAAAATCATTATTCACTAATGTCCAGTGGACGTGCATTAAGATGTCTAGAAACAGGACTTCCGATTCACTTCTCTTGCATCGAAATTGATGAGCATTTCTCTCACTCAACTCGTTGAAACAACGCATTTTTTTCCAAATAATATTAAGCAACTGAGGATTAGCCATGGGAAGCCCCCTCAACCCCTCCTGGTTGATATCTATATGCATTAATATGAATTAAAATGTTTGAAAATTAAACTTCCCGGAGGCTCCGCTACGTACGTAGTTTAGGCCTGTTGAAGGTAATAAGATGATTTAATAAAGTTCTTTCAACAATGAATTCATGATCCTGCTATTCAGTTCACTTTTGAACTTGAGACTTGCATTTCTCTTCCGTTTCTCGCATTCTGGTCACACTAACATCCAACTTCAGTACTATGGTTTACCGTAACCTCATTGGTTTGCCTTCCGATACAACACTTCAATCATGTCATCCGACTAAACAAAAGTTACTTTCATTTATTCCATGTTTCCCGTGCTCTTCAAGTTGCTCCTCCAACTATCCCTTGATGAAGAACTAAATTATTTAAAGCATAGCTATTGACAGGGCTTCACCCAACAATATTAATCAAGCGTTAAAAAATTCTCATCTCAACACACCAAAAGGCACACTCTTGTTTAGGAGCTTATAAAAATTCTCGTTATTCCCTTCTTTCCATCAACTAGCTATAAGCTGGACTATTTGCAGAATTTACTTTCTGGTCGTTTATTTCCCTTAATAAAATTCCAAGTTCCATACTCAAGGGCCCCATCCGGATATGGATTCTGGGGATTTACAGGATTCCTTGCCAGTGTGGTTTAATTTACATCGGCCAAACTAAGAGAGCCTAAATTTCTCTTCAAGACATGAGGCATATGTTAGAAAAAAGAAACAGAAGTGTTCTGTTGCCAACATTGTTAGTCCGAAAATAACACTTTCAATTTTTCTGCTGCGAAATTATTCAAAAAACATCTTCCATTGGCGAACTGGATTTTCTAGAGGCATTTCATATTCAAAAAATTCGTCCTGTTCTGGTAACGACCCTAATTCTAATCTATCTTTGCCTTCAGCCTTTAAAGAAATCATGTTTTAGTTCTGGTTTCATTAACAGATGGCGCCACTAGCTTATCTTCTGTCCAGGTTTTCTTACCGTATCTAATTATTATATCCTATGTCGTTCATTTGCGCTTTTGTAGCTGAGGATGGTGGTTCGGTAAAACCATCGAAACTAGTCCTGTGAAAATTTAAAACTATAACACTGATTTTTGTTGTTTGACTTCTGAATAACTATCTCCTAGTCGGATTACAAAATAACAGATAACACTGTTTATTTATATTTTTTTTATTCAAACACAGTTCCATTGTGAATTAAATTATTACTCTTACTGTGAGGTTACCATAATCCCAGTTTAATTCCGAATATTCTTTGAAAGAGAAATTTATAAACTAAATTTGGCTATGTTTGATTTAATCAGTGAACAATCGTATCATGATCAAAGCAATCGTATCATGTAAAAATGTCTGATACTAGAATATCTTACTGAAGATTTTTTTACGTGCACTACATTTTCTATATAAGACCAATCTAAAATTTATCACTATTTATAACATAACCAAAGCCATTCAGTTGTATAATGCTCGAAATCGTTCAAACATACATATTCACAGATATCCACAAAGACTTATTTCAGATTTCCGAATCAAAGTTGCGAACCATGTTTACATCGAACGAAGTTGTTGTTGATGCTGAGCGGAGCTTCGTTGTGACATCGGCTTATGCATGAAGCGACGATCACGTGATCTCCCTGCGCGTTCGGGGATTTAGCGCCGACCAGATGAATAATGATAAACCGATAAAACGCCATCGTTCACTGTAACTGCAATTTGTTAAAAAGGAAACGCGTGGGTTTTATCAGTTTAAGAATTTGAAGTTATACCTGATTAAAATCGTAATAGGTAGTCCAGTTCTCCGCCAAGAAAATCGGATAACTTCCAGAATTTTGTAACCTAGTGTGTTTTTTTAAAAAGAAGCAAATGTTCATGTATTAAGAATAGTATGTCAAGAGCAGATTTTTATGAAGTTTGCTTTGTAGAAGAAATTGTATCTAAACGCTATCCGTCTAATCCTGCTTCAAAGCTTGTCAGAGTTTTAGGGAAACTGAAAAATTTCGACCCAGTGACTTCTCTTGGTGAATTATCTGATCCGGAGGCTAAGACATATTCAACTTTAGCTGTTAATTTTGAAAATATTTCAGATACTCCTTTAATTAGAGGAATATTGTATCAGGTTGTTGGAGAAGTTGCCGATAAAGGAAGTAAAATAACTCTTAATGCATCGATAGTTAGAAATGTGGATGGGATTGATATGCAGATGTATAAAGAAGCCATTAATTTAAGACGTCAGTTTCTTTCCAAGTGAAGTATGTCACTTTCTTTTCAAAAGTTTACTTTTAGAGCTTTTTTTTCTGAACTTGTAAATGTTTTAAAGTATGAAGTTATTTCTTATGTGCAGAAATGTTAACTGTAGTGTAAGAAATACTGAAATAAAAAATCACTTAAAACTATGTGTTAGCATAAAGTATTTTAATTTATTTGATGCAAGAAAATCGATTCAGTTGGAATTTTTTATTCGCTTATTTAACTGCTATTAGCAATGAAGCTTGTTTAATTCTTAATCGTATATAATCATTAATAATTCACGTTAACAGTAGATTATATATTGTTTAATCTAATGTTAAAATTTAAATGGACTCGTTAAGTATCAGAAAACTGTTAATCGTAGGATTGTTATTTAATTCATCTTTCTGTCAAGAATATTTTCCTGGTAGAATTAATCCTTATTCTTTATAAATTTATTATTATTTTCTAGATCACAGAATTTTGGATAGCGGTTTAAAATTATTTCTTGAAGATGTCAAAATTGAAACAAGCCACTCTTTCATCTCTCAAGGTAATAATTTCTTTCCATATGAAAATATTGCTATTTTATTATTGCTTCAAAATAATAAAGTTAATTTAATTTTAAATTATTCTCTTGCACCATTGCTGCAAGGAAGGAAATTTGAATTTAACAAACATTCTCTATTCGTAAAAAGCAAATTAAAGTTAATAAATTTAAATGAAATTTAATGCAACAAATAAATGTTATTTTTATTATTTATTTCATAAATCCTTAAATGTATGCACTATGTTCAAAACTGAGTTACAAGGTAATGAGAAAATTTATAAAATAACCTAAGATTTGCTTTTTGATGTGATAAAAGGTTTGAAATAATTACAAAAACTGATAAAGTTTTAATCTGATAATAAAGCTACAGGCAGAATTTTAGAAATATTTGTTTTTGTATATCTATATAGCTTTAATTTATTAGTTTGATGGGAGAAAAAAGTACTCAAAAATTCTGATTATATAATGATGTCTTAATAGTAGTCTAATAATAACTAGAATCTGAAGTATTTTAGAAAAATATGCGTCATAGAATAACTGAATGCACTGATATTTGTCAAATGACATTTCAAATTTGAAAGCACTACCACTGGAAAATGGGTAAATGTAAACATACTTAGATATGATTAAAATTGTGCTTTTTCCTGCTGACAATAATTTATATTTACTAAAAATTATGTATAATCAGCTAATCATTACTTGCATGTTTAAATTGTAAATAAATAATAAAAATTGTCTTTGGCTATTTTGATAACATTCAACAATGAGAAAAACATCTTCAAACAGAATTGGATTTTTAATTTAAAATGAATGCAACAAGAAACATAAAAGTAAGTACATTCATATAATTCTTATTAGGAAACTGCAAAAAAATATTTATTAACTGTTCCTAATGTTTTAATACATTATGAACTGCTTATAACATTTCTGGAAATTATTTGATTGGTGCTATAACCCTAATCTTAATACTCGGAGAGCATCCATTATGTACTGAAAGAGAACATGCAAACGTAAAATCTTTTAAAAAAAAGTAAACATAATTTGGCATGGATGCTTTCTGATTTGGAATTCTTTTAAAATACCTCAGATGAAAAAAAAATTTTTTTGCATCTGAAAAAGGAGTTGTGTCTGATTATCCTCAAAATTGATAGAATTATTAAAAATACACTTAAGCTAATCTAAGTATGCTCTTTTGCGTAATTTTAAGTGGCTTACTAAAATTGAAAACAAGTTTTGGCGACTAACACTTGGCAATTTTTATGATCTAGTTTGATCTTGTTTGACAGCTTTAATTTAAAAAAATTATTTTATAATACTTTCACATTATTAACGGAATTGATCGCAATGAGTAACTCATTTTCCATGTTTTCATATACAAACACGTGGGACTTTGCCAATTCAATAACAGTATCCAAATAAGAACGTAAACTATGATCACTTTAAGCAGTATCTACTGTATATATATTTTTTCCTGCTAACCATGGCTAATTAGCCTTTCCTCAAGTATATTTTATAAATATTAGAATTTGATTTTTATTTATATATACTTCATGTTATTCTTTTTCTGCTAATTTTAATTTGGTAAATATCTGTTATTGGGACTATAAAAAATCACCAAACTATATATAAAAGAAAAAAAAATTTGCCAATGACGCCAAAAATAATTACGGTAAACCTAATGCAAGGAAGGAAGCATTATAATAAATAACTATCTAAGCCTTATTATTTTCATTTAAATGAAAGGGTTAGTTCATATATTACATTTTTGATTACAATCCATAAGAAAAATAAATAAAATATCCACACATTATTGAAATTTAAACAAGGAGCATACAATTTTTTGTGTTCCAATATTGTGAAGTAAATTTCAGGTTTTTTTGTGTAAAAGTCTATGTACTTGTACGTTCCATCGTTTAAAAATAGTGGACTGTAATTGACTTGATATTCCCTCAGTGCAGAACCCAAGAAACCTCAGAGTAATAATGTTGACCGAAACTTCTTGATTGGCTTTCAAACATTAGAATGGCTAAGGAACGGTGAAGAACACGTTGAAACCTCCGACTTCAGTAGCGGCTTACCGAGCAAACTCAGAAGAACCTCTGCTTAGTTGGAACTCCAGTAAATCACAGCAACCTCAAAGCTCTAAACGCGAGCTTTAAAAATCTAACAAATTTGCGTCTGCGCCGGCTCCTCGGTACAAAGAAAGAATACAATTTGCATATTACATCGAACATACCCCCAGCCTTGAAGTCCCAAGGGGGTTCAAACAATAAATTTAAACTGTTGAACTGCATAAACCTGAAAAATAAAAATTAAAGTCTCTAAATCAGGAATTAAATGGCAAAGCGCATAGCTTTGCTATAGGTCGTTTTATTTCACCATTAGGACGTGCGTAAACTCACCACTCGAAACTTTCTCATCCAAGACCAGGATACACTTTAATAATAATTCTACCTAATTTCCAACGTAGCGGAGGTAGATTTTCGTTCTTAATAAGAACCATATCACCAATCTTCAGGTCTTGTTGGTACCTTGCACCACTTGGGTCTCTGCTGCAATCTAGATAAATACTCACTGCTCCAACGATTCCAGAAATGTTGAAATAACCTTTGCACGTTCCTCCAACGGTCACTGCAGCTCAAGGTTTCTTGAATTTGGTTAGATTCTGGAATAGCGCTTAAAGCCGCTCCGGTTAAAAAGTGTCCTGGTGTTATCGCCTCCAAGTCGCTACAATCACTTGAAGCTGGTACTAAAGGCCTAGAATTAAGACAGGATTCAATTTGGGTTATTAATGTCAAAAATGACTCGTATGTTAAAATAAGTGTTCCTAAACATCTTTTTAAGTGATGTTTCATAGGACTTGATACCTGCTTCCCAAAGCCCGCCAAAATGAGGGGCAGAGGGAGGATTAAACAACCAATTTAATATTTTCTGAAGAAATATAACCCTGTAGCTGTTCATCACGTGTTGAACAATAGAAAAGGCTTTCCTTAATTCTTTATTAGCTCCTATAAAGTTTCGTTGCACAATCCCTGTGAATTTCACACGGTTTGCCTCTATGAGCTATAAACCGCTTAAGTGTCAGCGAGGATTGATTTTGTTGAAAGATCTCTAACTTCTAAATCTAAGTGTATTGCTCTTGTAGTAAAACAAATAAGCAGACATTGTAACACTTAAAGATTTTAACTCCTCTACCCGGATAACGATATTTAACGTTAAATGGTCCTGCTAAATCAATCCCTACATGAGAAAAAGCTCTACTTTGAGTAACTCTTGAAGCGGGTAAATCTGCCATTAGCTGAGTTGCAGTTTGCGCTCTAACTCTACGGCAGATAACACACATTGGTTTATACACTTTCTTATAATATCTCTAGCATTCACAATCCAAAATCTATGTCGTATGACAGAAGTGAGTAGCTGCGTACCTGCGTGAAGATACGTGTCATGATAATGCTTAATAATTAAACGCGTAATATTGTGATTCTTAGGTAAAATCATAGGATGTTTCTGATTATTTGAAACTGTAGAGTTTCTGAGCCTTCCGCCTACACGCATTACTCCCGCGGAATCCAAGAAAGGACTTAAAGACAGTAATTTACTTGATGTCTTCAAGGGTTTACCAGATTCTAAACAAAAATATTCTTCTGGAAATTCGGCTCTTTGCACAATCCTAACAATCATAGAAGTAACTTCACAGAATTCTTCAGTAGATAAAAACCCTTTATACGCTCTGTAGGTAACTTACTACAATTATCATGCATATAAATCTTAAACACTACGCTAAATCTAAAAATTTATTTCTAAATCTATTTCTAAATCTTAAACACTATGCTAACACTCGACCTAACTTTAACCATGATGAAAACTCTTGAAAACGCACTAGGCTAGTACACTAGGCTCTTCAAATTTGGAAAGATTTTAACTGAAACTCTTTTTTTCAATTCCTTCAACATAACCTCATTTTCTAATTCTTACACTTGAATTTTTGCTGTACATGAATTGGGGATTCGTTTAACCACTGCGGTCCCTTCATCCATAACTCACATTGTAGGAATTCTGATGGAATAAAACCTCTGGTCCCACAGTCTGCAGTCTTATTAAAAAAAGTTTAGTCTTATTCAAAATCGCGTGAAGATGATGTACGTTCCGTTGTTTAAAAATAGTGGACTGTAAATTAACTTGATATTACTTCAGATAGAACTCAAAAAATAAAAACTCAAAAACTACTCTCAGACTCCTAACGTTGACCGAAACTTCTTTATTGACTTTCAAATAGTAAGTTAGTTGAGGAACGGCGAAGACCACACAAACTCCGACTTCAGTGGCGGCTTACCAACACAAACTCAGAAGAACCTCCGCTTAGTTGAAACTCCAGTAATTCACAGCAGCTCTAACCGCGAGCTTTAAAATCCTAACAAATTTGCGTCTGCGCCGCTCCTCGGTACAAAGAAAGAAATACAATTTGCATAACATCGTACATACCCCCAGCCTTGAAGTCCCAAGGGGGTTCAAACAGTAAATTTAATCTGTTCAACTGAATAAACCTGAAAATAAAAATTAAAGTCTCTAAATCAGGAATTAAATGGCAAAGCACATAGCTTTGCTATAGGTCGTTTTATTTCACCATCGGAAGTGCGTAAACTCGCCACTCGAACTTTCTCATCAAGACCAGGATACACTTTAGTAATTCTACCTAATTTCCAACGTAGCAGAGGTAGATTTTTGTTCTTAATAAGAACCATATCACCAACCTTCAGATCTTGTTGCAACTTGCACCACTTGGGTCTAACCTAGATAAATACTCACTGCTCCATCTTTTCCAGAAATGTTGAAATAACCTTTGCATGTACCTCCAGCGGTCACTGCAGCTTATGGTTTCTTGAATTTAGTTAGATTCTGGAATAGCGCTTAAAGCCGCTCCGGTTAAAAAGTGTCCTGGTGTTATCGCCTCCAAGTCGCTACAATCACTTGAAGCTGGTACCAAAGGCCTAGAATTAATGTTTTGTGCTTAAGTTTCCTTCTTACTTTTTCAGCAAACAATTATTAGTTAATATGTGAAAATAAAAATTATCCTTCTTTACATACTGCGCTCACAAATCATTGTGGGAATATCCATTTACAATAATTAAAACCTGAAAAAAGCATGTCTGCGAAGTTATCGTCATGCGATGATTTGTAGATACTTTATTTTTTACCACGATATTTTCAATGACGATGTTTTTAAACTGCGAAGTTTTTTAACCGCTTTATTTTCGATGCCGGTGTTTTGTAGCACGATGTTTTAGAACTGCGATGTTTTCTCTTTGCGATGTTTTCTCCCACGATGTTTTGTAGCACGACGTTTTCGCCTTGCGTTGTTTTCTCCGCGACATTTTTGTTCGCGATGTTATCGGCGGACACCCAACGCGGCGCATGCGCAGAAAGTTTTTAGTTTTGAGGTCCGGATTATGGATCATTCCGAATTATGGTTTTTAATAACAGCCGTCCGCAATAAAACTTCATGCTGAAAATTAAAGTCTGAAACACAAGATTTAATTACTGGACTAGAACTTGCGATATTCTCCCCAGACCCAGCCAATTGAGCGCGAGGTTCTGGCTCAGGGAAAAATGGCTTAGCCATCACTGATAATTTATTCGAACTGTTCGTAACTCCTTTACTTGCCTTTGGTTCATTTTGAACTCTTTCGAAATGCAGTAGTGTGTGATCATTTTTACAGCATTTTTACATTTATGTGTACTTCTACACTTGAAAGCTTTATGATTTGAAACCAAACAATTAAAGCGAAACCAAACAATTAAAGCAAACATTATTTCTCTTGACAAAATTAATGCGTTCCTGAACATTCAGATTTAAAAACTTATTACATTTAAAAACTGAATGACCGGCTTTACAATATGTACACTGCGCGCGAATCTCTGAAGCCAATGAAGTTAATTTGTCTTTTATAACTTGTTTTTTAACATCTTGCATTTTACCTGCTTGCAAGGTTCTGGCATGAGATTTCAAGAACTCATTAAGTGTTGGTATTTCCTCACTCTTTACTGTTCTTTCCCACCATCCTCTCGTCGAAGAATCCAATTTAAACTGTACTGTTAACATTAAAATAGTATCCGCGAATCGCTCCACTTTGAATCCTAGATTTTCAAACGAACATATGCATTCTCTTACAGTGTCTACTAACGCTAATATCTGACTAGGAATTTCAGCTTGTAAATTTGATAAATACAAGATTTTCTTTAATAACGATGAAAGTAATTCTCTCTTATGTGAAAATCTTTGACACAATAAATGCCATGCTATTTCAAAATTCCTGTCACAAATAGTTAAAGCTTGAACAATCCGCAAAGCTTTTGTAGCTTTTGTGCACCTGATAAACGGTCATTATCCACTATCGCCGTTTTAAGTTCGGACATTACATTATTTAATCTAGATTTAAAAAGTTCTAACTGATCAACATCAGCAGAATCGTAAGTCACTGTAATTTTCTCCTTCAGTTTACTCAACTTAGCTTTAGCTACACGCTTTTTAGTCTTAAGCGTTGTAAATTCCAGTGTTTAAAATTAACTTTGTGTGAAACAGAGCTAGGTTAATCTTCGGATTATGGTAACTTGGCGAAAATTTGGTGGCCAACCCTGCTACAGCAACCTGCTAGTTTTTTTTTTTTTTTTTTACGCCATTTTGTTTTCACGAAGTAAAGGCTTTTTTTTTTACTCAAAATTTTTTGGTACTATGCCGTTTTGAGGGCCGTAAAAAAATTGCAGCGAAAATGTACGCGCAAAAGAGCCGAATCTAGCAAACGCGCTCATTTAACAGCACGCCAAATCTAGCGTATGCGCTGATTTCAGACTGCGTAAGTTTATATAGTTCTATATTTCTTAAGATGCCATTGAAATACTAGTTTTAAGTTTTTAATCCTTTTTTGATATATTATGGATTTAACAATTTGGGAATTGCCTATGACGAAAAGTCTGCAATAGAATTTTGGGTAAAGTGCAGAATCACCCAAAGCTTGACGCGTTTTTAAGAATTGCACATACACGGTATCATCCATGTACACGTCGACCTATTTTCACTTAAAAAAACATCCCAGAATTGCACAAAAATGGCATTGCGCACACTTTTGACTTTATCCATGTACACTGCTAAAGTCCTAGCTAGTAACCTTTATTGCCTTACCAAAATGTCGCCAAACTACCTGTTACCATATTCCGAAGATTAGTCCAGAGCTATAATTTGGAAGAGAAAATGTTACTGCTCTATGCATTTTACACTGAACATTAAAGAGTTAACAATACTCAGTTTTAAAATAATAGATAAAATGTGCTACTCTTTTAACATAAATTTCCATTTTCTTTAAACTTGCCTTTTTTTATATATGTATGTTTATTTATAATCATTCTTTTATCTGCATACTAACTGAGAAAATTCAACTATTGCTTCTAAGATAACTATAATAACAGCTATTTCAAGTTAGGCAAAAAACCAACCTTAGATTGGCATAGTTTTAAACATATATGGCAATTCTGTTTTTCCTGCTGCTGAAGAACTTACATTTTAATTGCCCTTGAAATCAATAGCTGGCTAATTTGGGTAAAGCGATAAAGGTTACTAGCTAGGACTTTAGCAGTGTGCATGATAAAGTCAAGAGTGTGCGCAATGCCATTTTTGTGCAATTCTGGGATGTTTTTTTAAGTGAAAATAGGTCGACGTGTAGATGGTTACCATGTATGTGCAATTCTTAAAAATGCGGCAAGCAGTTTGCGATTCTGCACTTTCTCCCAATTTCGCACCTAATCTTCGTCATGATTAAGCACTTTTGTTCCATAAAAGTTCTAGCATAAGCGTAATTCGGCTAGCAGATTGTTGGAAAAAAATGTAGAGTTAAAAAAAAAGCCTTTACTTCGTGAAAACAAAATGGCATCCAAACAAAAACTAGCAGGTTGCTGTAGCAGGGTTGGTCGCCAAATTTTTGCCAAAAAATCGCCAAGTTACCATAATCCAAAGATTAACCCAATAGCTTTATTCAAAATTTCTTCTAATCTAAGGTTGATTTTTTGCCTAGTTGTAAATCTTGCATTGGCATGTTTCGCTTCTGATTCAATATAACAACTGATATTTTCTTTTAATGATTTTGTAACTTATATCTATATTACTTGAACTTTTAATGTTCTTAGGAATAATAAATACAATATGTAAGATTGTTGTCTTAATTTTGATAAAACAGCTGTACTTACTGTACCTAAAAAGAATTATTCAGTTTTTCAAAATTGGAAGCTAAGGAAAAAGTTTTTTATGACAATTATTTTGATGTTTTATACTATTAGAATTTATCTAGAATGCTCAGCTAGCACAAATCGAATCAATAATTAGTTACAAAGAATAAAATAAGAATAACTTTAACAAGTGCTTAACAAAATTAATTCTCATTTAAAATATGCTTTATGTCGTTACCTTCTAAAATATCTTCCAGAAATATTTCAAATAAAAACATATTATATTTAAATGCAAATGATATAAATACTTACGTACACAGTCGCACTGCAACTACAAACTGTTTAAATATTATTTATTACCTGCCGTATTCGAAGCAATTCTTTTCTTTTTTTTTTTTTTTTCCCTTTTGATTTGCTTTCTTTTGGGAGAAAACATGCATTTCTATTTAAGAAACATATTCTAATAAAAGTTTGCACTCTGCAAACTAAATGAGTTGCATCTCTATATACTGTAGGATAATGTTTCTCTAGTTTAGTAATTAAAGAACCAGTTACTTGCTTCCTGTTACAGTAAGTTGTATCATGAACTGCACAAAATATTTTTTCGAATTTGTGAACTGTGTTCATCCATGAATGAGAAGGTAGAGTCAAGCCTTAAAAGGACAGTAATTTAATCCATTCTGAATGAAATATTGTTTCATCAGCAGTATTTTTAAATATTGTTCCCAATGATGGGTATTTGTCACGCACATAGTAGGCAATATTTACCTATAGCATATGTTAATATGTAGTCAAAAATTCTGTGGCAGAATTAAACTCTAATTCTCAAGCCATAGGAGAAGGCTCCTCTCCTCTATGAAAACCAAATCATCAACAGTATTTAATGGAAAAGCATTAGCACATATTGCTAACAAGCTTCATGCAATCTTTTGTTGCAAAAATGCACCTAATGGAACAACAAATCGCACACTGATTTAAAAAAATTGAGGACACATGTTTGTCAGCAATCACCATGCTCTCATTCTAGCTGGTTTGTTGAAAACATCACTACTGTGTATGACAATATTATTGCAAATTTAAAAGTATATAAATTTAAAAAGTAAAAATAAAAGAATTTAAAAAGGAAACTGAATGTGTCATTAAGTCACCTTGATTGGCAGATATGTGAGAAAGTGATTTAGAATTTTATAGAGAAAGTATGGTGCTGTAGAAAAAGTCATGAAGAACATATGCCAGACATTATTTTTCATTCTCAAATCAGGACATTTACCTCTAGTAAGTATGTTAAAATATTTTCCATTTTGGAAATACTGGGCATATTGAATCTGGTGCTTTTATTGGGACACCCCATAGTAATAATATTTTGCAAACCATCTTGGAATTGTTTGCATATTGTAGAGTGATTTATGATATTAGATAAATATTTTCAGGGTGTAGTAGTTGTAGAAGATTTTCTCAGACATAAAAATGTACTTGAGAGTGAAGATGAAACGGAAGATGTTATTTTGAAGAGCTTATCATATCTGAAAATGAAGAAACCTGCTAAAGAAGTTTTGTCTTCAACAGGCATTGGTATATAGTTTTCATTTATTTAATTTTTCATATATTTACAGTCTTAAAAGATAGTTACTTTTCCTGAATCCTCTTTAATATTAAGTGTTGTTATCTTATATTTTTTGTATGTTATTTGATGTCTGAACTAAACTACCTCCAAATAATTACAAAAAAAGACATAATAAACATATTTTAGAAAATTTTTACACTGAAAATTTCAATTTAAAATACACCACTACAAAAAAAGTGGGGATGGAATTTAAAAATATAAAAGAATAAAACGTATGTGTTTGCATACAAATATTTTCCTTCTCATTCTGAAATGGAAATAATAGCTATTGCTGCTAATTCATTAAACTAAATCTTTAGTCTTAAATAAAATTAAAACTCTGCTTAGAGTTTGTTTCCAAAGGCACCATTCTACATCTCTTTTTAGAACTTAAAATGGTATAGGCAAAAAAATGAATGTTTACGATTTGAGCAAAATTAAAAATGTAGAGCGGTATGAATAGAAATGTATAGAGAGGCTTGTAATCTAATTTTATTGTAATCTCTAGATTTGATTTTGAAAGCAGATGATAATGTGCACTAGCAGTTTCTAATCTAGCTTCATAGAGCTCTGAGGGCTCCGTACACTTCCCAGAAGCTCCTTGGTTGCTTCTTGACAATAAAACAAATGCTGAATGAAACTGAAGAATAAAATAAAAAGTTAATCATAAACATAAATTTTGAAATATTTTGAAGATAGAAATTTTTCATTCTTGTGTCTTCTTCAGCAGCTGATGCTTGGCCATTCTGCAGAAGTGCACATTCGAGAAGTGCTTATTCTTGATCTTTTGAAAATTCTTGTAAACCAACAGTTCCCAATCTATGCTCCACAGAGCCCTTAGGAGCTCCATGTGCACTTCCCAAAGGCTCCTCAGCCATTCCAGGAAAATAAAATAAACTCCAAGTGTCACTGAATAATAAAATAATAAGTTAATCAAAAACAGAAATTTAGAAATAATATTTTGAAGCTGAAAATTTGCCAGTTTTATATCTCTTCAGCAGGTGAGGCTTGGCCATTACTTGGAATTGCATATTTGGGATGTTACTCACTCATTCTTGATCCTTTGAGAATTCTTGGAGTCTGCTGGAAGTTTTTAAACTTAGTCCCATATATATATATATATATAGTGAAATTCGTCGTAATAATATCATGGTTTCTGAGCGAGTCTTCCATTAATTTTCTGTGTATTTTATTTCTTTATGAGTTTAGTTGTATAACTAGTAAGGTCTTCATTAATGAAGTGATAGTAAAAGTAACAGGGTGTATAAAATCACACCCTATTAAAAGCAGATTCTATATTCTAATGTGTGAAAAATAAGGGAGCCCACCATGAGTCCCTTCTGCTGCGCATTGAAGCAAGATGATTGTCTTGAACAATTGATATGTGCACAAAAGAGCAACTGCTGGTCAGTAATAAAATTAAATTGGAAAAATTTCAAATAAATAATGAGTGAATGTTTGTTTAAACCGAACTGTATGAAATTATTAACTTTTAGAAGTCGCATTTATTGTAACGACTTTAATGTTCTCAGGAATAATGTAAAATATCACTTTAATACAAATTGGTACGTTTTAGTGAACTTTAGAACTTTTATGTATGGCTAAACTTTTGACAGTATCATGTTGAGAATAAATTGTTATAGTGTGATAAAATTAAAAATTTGGTACTATTCGGTTTTGAGGGCCGTAAAAAATCGCCAAACTATTGTTGATGGCAGTGCTGCCAAAAATATTTGCGGCAACCCTAATGGAAGAAAGAAGGAGAAGAAAGGAAGTACAATAGTAAATAACTACACTGGTGTGCAAAAATTAAGGACGAGACGGTTTTTTTCAATATGACTTTGTACAAAAGCTTTCCAAATCAACACATTTAATACCGTAAGATCCCCAATACGTAAGGACATGAGTAATGTAAGCAACACTTACTAAAAGAGAAATCAGAGGGATAATATTGTCCAGTCGCCTGTGTCGTGTGTCTAGCGATTTCTCCCGCTGTCTGCCGCCTGATTCTTCTGGCCTGTAAGGCAATATACCGGTCATCTGCGGGTGTGGTTCCTCGTGGACGACCACTACTAACCCCCCGGATAGCTGTTCCTGTAGTTTGAAATTGTATCCAAAGTCGTGAAACGATGCTGTGAGCAATTCCGAACTCTGCAGCCACACTTGTCACACTGCGGCCTTCCTCCAACTTCCCAATCATTCGACCTCGGGTAAAAGCATACAGATGTTGTCTACGGATTGATTATTCGCCTTTCTCGCTGAGGCAGCAACTTGGTGTGATATTAACTGCTATACGGCATGCAATCTCTTTGCCAGAAATACTGATCTTACACCGACAACATGCTTTATACTACTTAGACACTCCCCCATTACGTCTACCTGCATATCTGCGCATGTGCTACCGTACATCACCTTACTTAATCTCCTGATTGGTCTTTCTGTCCGCTCTGCCTCTTCGTTCAGCTGATATGCTAATTTTTCGACTTCGTCCTTAATTTTTGCACACCAGTGTATTTAAGATAGATGTTTTAATTTAGATGAAAGGTTCATTTCATATAATACTTTTTTATTATTATAATTTATATAAAAAAGGCTAAACATGACTGAATGGAAGCATAAGAGTATATAACTATTTCAGATTGCATCGTTATGCAGGATGCCTGCATCGTTATTTCGCTACCGAGTTATCGCTAAAGCATAATTTCATCTCGTTGTTTGTTCAAACATAATTTTCTGCAATGAATGATGCCTTTTCTTTGAAAAAATTATCAGTAAAGTGCAGAATCGCTCAATTATTTGTTTGCCGCTTTTTACAAGTGTAAAAACAATTGGATGTTTGTCAATTTTCTTTTACTTTTTAAGTGAAAATAGGTCAATGTGTACATAGATAAAGTCAAGGGTGTGCGCAGTGCCATGTTTGTGCAATTCTAGGATTTTTTTTAAGTGAAACTAGGTCGATGTGTACATGGATACCGAGTATGTGCAATTCTTAAAAACGCGTCAAGCTGTGGGTGATTCTGCACTTTACCCAAAATTCTATTGCAGACTTTTCGTCATAGGCGATTCCCAAATTGTTAAATCCATAGGATATCAAAAAAGGATTAAAAACTTAAGACTAATATTTCAATAGCGTCTTAAGAAATATAGAACTATATAAACTTACGCAGTCTGAAATCAGCGCGTATGCTAGATTTGGCACGCTGTTAAATGAGCGCGTTTGCTAGATTCGGCTCTTTTGTCCATACATTTTCACTGCAATTTTTTTACGGCCCTCAAAACGGCATAGTACCAAAATTTTTTTAATATAATTTCATTTCATGGACATAGCACACATATTTAGATATCTCCTCCTTTACATTCCCTTATCTATGTTTTTTCCTTTTCCTGTAGGCACATAACCCATATGTGCTGTTCCATATTCAAATAACCTAATCTGATCTATCCATGTAACACATTTCTTAAACATCACTAGCTTTTTTAAAATTTATTACGTGCTCCGCCCTTAGGCACTACGTGGAAAGGAAGGAATGTCTTGTGGAGGTCTTTTTAAGGGAAACTGGCTCATATCCATGTTACACATTGGGGAAAACCACGAAAATGCCCATGCAGCCAGCCAGTTTGCCAGGACTGAACTATCAGTATTCAGCGGCTTTTACCACTTGGCTGCTGGTGGGCCAAACATCACTACCTTGACTCAAAACTCAAAATTATTATTTTTAAGTGAACTTAATCAGGTTCTTTTTTCAGTGGTGCAAAATTAAGTATGCTGCTGACTCTTTACATTTTGCATCTAAATTTAGTTTACTATTATTTTTTAAAATTTGATTAACGTCTATCTTCAGCAGTTTCCTAATTATTACATTTATGTACTTTTGCATTTGATAAGAATTCTGCTCTTATATATATAAGTTTTGATGAATTTTGAATGTCAATATCTGTTCATAACAGCAATGAAAGTAGGAAATCAATATAATTATTCAAAAAGAACAAAAGAGAAAACTTAATCTGTATCATCCTTAACACAGTATAATATATTGTAAATGAATGGCCACTATACAATAATTTTCATTGGATTTTTTAGAGAAAATTATTCCTCTGCATTTTATTGTAAAAATAATAAAACATTGACAACTGTTTCAACTTTTATGAATAAATTTATCTTCTATGGGAGCATCATTGTTCATTTCTTCCATTTTTTCCCCCCCTTCTATCCTTGAAGGAACACATTTCTTGCAGAAAAATCCTGATTGCATGCATTACATGTGCAAGTTATTAAGTAGTGTTTTTAGTTAGCAGTTAATTTTGGTGAGCAGTCACAAAAATGCTGATTCTCTTTTATGGTGGTCATTACGATGCAAAAGTAACAATTATTTTTATATACTAACATGTGCTGAGACTAGTTCCAAACTGTATGATATAGTTAATGTTTAATTTTATTTGTGTCTAATCTGGGTTCATATATTTGTGTAAAAATTTAACAATTTGTCACATGTTTTTCTTTTATGAGTATTTTAAAATACAAGATAAAAGTTTTCTTGAATGGATCAAAAGTTTATTTCTTTGAATGTATAATTTAGAGTTTAATAATATTATTTCAGGTGTAGTTGTGAAAGCTTTGGAAAACCATACCAGTGAAAAAATTTCAAATGAAGCTAAAAACTTAAGCAAGTTATGGGTTCTGGATGGAGAATGTAAACGTCAACCAACTGTTAAAGTTAGGTATGATAATTTGACTCGTCATATACGCAGAACATCTGTGAAGTTCTTTTTGAAGGAGCTTGGAGAAAATGAAGTAAACATTTTAGTTTAAATTTAAAAAAAAAAAAAAATTCTTTATATGCTTAAATATTTAAAAAAATAAAATTTTTTATATGAATCGCATTATACTACTTTTACATTTCCCTTCCCATTCTGTAATTTCTGAAAATATTGCATTTTAATTTAATAAATTGGGTGCTATTTATTTAATATAAAAATAAAAACTGCAGTATAGAAATAATTAGTGAGTGTTGTCATGTTGTTGTTGTTTATCTTCGAAAGATCCGACATATGTCAGATTGTTGCTCCAGAAGGTTGCTGAGCGTCAAAAAATCAATAACAGTGAGGGCATTGGATGTTAAGTTTCCAACAAAACCTTATGGTTTTGTTGAGCGTTGTCATATAAAACACTATCTGTGCTTTAGCACCATAATGAAAAAAGTAAAAGAAATATGCAGCTTTAAGCACTTTTGTATTATTTTTCAAGATTTCAAATAGGAAATATCATTTAAAAAATAAAACATTTCTGTATCGGTACTTATAGGGCATTAGGAAGATCTTTTATTAATTAAAATAATATATCATAATTTATATCAATAATACACATTCAAAATTAAATGTGTAAGCTAGCAAGAGATGTGTTTATTGTTTTTAAATCAAATTGTTAAGCTATTACATATCAATTAAATTTGAATGCAGAATTTAAGAACTTTTTTCTAAATGTTAAATTTCAGAGAACTGGTTATGCCTTGAACCATGATGAAATAAATTAAATGCCTTTTGTTTCACATAGTGGCAACATTCTAAGAACTGTTTACATGAGGCATGCGGAAGAGAAGTTAAATACCTTAAATTTTGCACAGTGGCATTATTTGCTGAGACAATAGATAATATGTCTATAGGAGCATAATGTCACATAATAGTCTAAAAATTGCATGTGTACTCCAATAAGAACATTTCTAATATCAAAATTAAAGGACTTTGATGCTTGTAGAGATTGTTGGTCTATAATGGTCACTTTAAAATCCTCAAATTTAAGTAAATTTTAATAAAATTAAATGGAAGAATTGCTGTTTCCTATCAAAGCATTTGGTTGCCAGTGACCTACATGTTGATGGTCACTCTTGTTCAAGCAGTGGGTCACAGATGTGTGACAGTGATATTAATATTGTCTGACTTTTTAAAAACAATTTAAAATTAAATTGTTTTTAAAAAGTCAGTTTTAATTTAAAATTAAATTAAAACAATTTAAAATTAAATTGAAGCACATCTGCACCAAATAAGACTGTTAGTCATTCATGAACTAGAGCAGAGATTCCATACCCTTTTCTTGCTTTACTTATTATTTCCCTTTTAAAAGAATAATCTTTTTTCATTAACCTCCCTTTTTTTCCCTCTAGAATATACAACTTAACCCATAATCATAATGCAAATAATTTCAAGTAAATAACTCAAAGATAACAATCAGACTAAGAATATAAACTAGTTTTTTGGGGGAAATGGTTAATTAGATTTTTGTTTTATGTATTTGTATTTTTTAAAATAAATATAAGCAAGTTTTCAGAAACAAAATAACAGCTTCTGTTTGCACATGAGTTTGATTTTACTTAACTTGATGTATTCATACATTTTTTAAAAAGTATTTAATACAGTCAAAAGTTGTTAATTCGGACACCCATAATCTGGACCTCAAAGCTACAAACTTTCTGCGCATGCGCAGAAAAATGCATAGGCGTTTACGTGTGCATGTAAGACCTTTATGGCTGCGAATATGTGTGTGCACATAAAACGTTTACGCATGCGCGTTTAATGTATAACAGACGGTATAAGCTAAGCTAAAATTATCTAATTCAATTAATGTTGCAGATTGCGTTTTTCCTTAATCTTCGAATTGGATCCGGCTTATTATTTTTTGTAGACTGTTAGAGCAATTTTATAAAAGTAAGCTTGAACTTTTGATTATATCAAATAGAATTTTCGATGTATATTTGCTAATATGTAAAGGATCTAAAGCGGAAGTATGTTTCGAAATCCGAAATCTGTTTATCAATTTCACGTTGCTCGGCGGGGGAACGCCACGGAGCACAATGAATTGGAAGTTGATCTGTCAGCACTATCCTTATCTTCAAGGCAGATGTTTTTATTTTATTTGGCTTATAATTACTAAATGTGGTATTTCATGTACTCCGTCTTTGATATGATTTAAGACAAGTTCCTCGTCATTATAATTCACTTCTGATAGTGAAGAAAGTAACAGAGGTTATTGAAAACGAAAAAATTTTGATTGACAAATTAGTCGGTATTCTTGACACAGCAATTATAGGACTTGAACAGCGGAACTTTGTAACTAAAAGAGAAATTATGTCTGTTTAATAGAACTAAAGAGAAAGTATTATCACATGAAATGAAGCAACTTAAACAACTTACATTGAAAGAAATGTTTAATAAAGTAAACAAATAAATATTAAGCTTTTTCTTTTTGTAAATTTTGATACCCTTTAGATCATAATTGTTCTTTATTTCATAAATTACGGTTTTATATTTTTAATTTTGTAATTTCTGCATGCCATCTTTACCAGATTTAAACTGATGATCTATAATCCGGAATCGCCGAAGTCCCGAAGAGTCCGGATTAACGACTTTTTACTGTATATACTTAATGTAATTTTTCAATAACATTATTCTGAAACATTCAATCTATTTCTTGTTTACTGTAACAGTTCTGTCAGCCATACTGGCACATTTAAATTTTCATTTTCTTAGAAGTAAGCATTAATTTTTTTTTAAAGTGGCTTGACTTATAATATAACATATCATCTGAAAAAGTTTTATATATATATATATATATATATATATATAATATTGTATATTTATAAAAATATTCATTTTTAAAATATATAATTGTTGTGTATTTTCCCTTTATTTACCTTATATGATTTCTTCTGTACTACATGGTATAGCTTTATATCAATAATCAATTAATTATTAATTTTGTTAATATTTTTATAACCAATGGAATCTTGATTATGCTGATCAATTATTGGTGCATATTCGACTATTCACCCCTTTAAAATTTCATCAGGTATTCAATACTGACTCTGTTGAAGACCTCTTATCTACAGCTTGAAAACTATTAGGATCAACCAACGAGTCACTGGTGTAGAGCAGTGCAATAAATTTATATATGTTTTTAAATTATATTGTAGAATATCAATGCTTGTAAATGCTAATGACATTAGCAGGTCAGCCCATAGGTCATTAGCATTGGGCAATTCAGTAAATTCTAATATATGTTAAAATTAAATAAAAGTGCACCAACATTCATCATGGTTACTAGTCATTGGTGCTCTGCTAATTGGTCGTTATCATTCCATATAAGTAACCATGGATCTCTGACAGTGCAGTAAATTTATATTTTAAAATCAAAATGAAGCGTGTTTGCCAGTGCCCATCAAGGCTGTTAGTTGCAGTGACCTACAAATTAATTGTCACTGGAAGTCAACCCATATGTCACTAGGTGTAGCAATGGAGTAAATTTACATAATTTTTTTAAATAAAATTAATTAGGACTGTAGTGTTTATTAAAGCAGTTGGTCTCAACAGTGACCTATGGTTACTGGTGGAGTTGATGTGGAAGAGTGGAGCAAATTTTGGATAAATTCCTAGAATTAAACTAAAAGGTGCTGCATAAAATTAATTGAAAACAACAGATATCCATTACTGTTAAAACTCATGTCTCTTTGTAATTATCAAGGCCACTTGTCAGTGCAGTTCTGGGGATTTTCACCAATATGTAATGCTCTTGGAAATGGCAAATACTGCCAGAGCAGTGGAGAAAGTAGTGTAGCAAAGTGATTCTCCAAATTTTTGAATAGTACTAAAAATGTTTCTAATACAGTCAAAAGTCGTTAATTCGGACACCCATAATCCGGACCTCAAAGCTACAAACTTTCTGCGCATTATTATCTATTTCAGTTAATGTTGCAGATTGCGTTGTTCCTTAATCTTCGAATTGGATCCGGATTATTATTTTTTGCAGACTGTTAGAGCAATTTTATAAAAGTAAGCTTGAACTTTCGATTATGTCAAATAGAATTTCCGATATATATTTACTAATATGTAAAGGATATACAAAGCGAAAGTATCTTTCAGAGTCTATTAAACAAAAAATGGATAAAGGCATATTCTTTGTTTATCTAAACTTAAACGTTTGTTTATCTAAACTTTGTTTATCTTTAACGCCAGGGCGGCGTGCAATGAATTGGAAGTTGATTTATCAGTTTTATCCTTATCTTAAGGGCAGATGTTTTTATTTTATTTGGCTTATAATTGCTTACTCAATGTACTCCGTCTTTGATATGATTTAAATCAAATGCCTTGTCATTATAATTCGCTTCCGATAGCGAAGAAAGTGACATAGGTTATTGAAAACGAAAAAATTTCGATTGAGAAATTAGTCGATATTCTTGATACAGCAATTATAGGACTTGAACAGCGGAACTTTGTAACTGAACAAGAAATTATGTCTGTTTATAGAATTAAAGAGAATGTATTATCACATAAAAAACAAAGCAACTGAAACAACTTACATTGAAAGAAATGTTTAATAAAGTAAACCAATAAATATTAAGCTTTTCTTTTGTCAATTTTGATACCCTTTAGATCATAATTGTTCTTTATTAATCTTCTTTAATTAATAAAGAACAATCTTCTTTAATTAATAAAGTTCTTTGTTAAATTACGGTTTCATATTTTTACTTTTATAATTTCTGCATGCCATTTTACCAGATTTAAACTGATGATCTATAATCCGGAATCGCCGAAGTCCCGACGAGTCCGGATTAACGACTTTTGACTGTATAAAAATTTATTAACTGATTAATAGTTATTACTCAAGCTTGTGGAAAGTGGAAGTTTGTTGGAATTTCTGTAGGCTAATTACAGGGCAACTACCGTTTTTTTTTTTTTTTTTTTTTTTTTTTTTTTTTTTTTAAATCTTGTGTGTTGATCTCCTATTAAATCACCATGTGTCTTAGTTTTTAATTTTGAGTCTTTACAGTTGGCAGAGATCCCAAAGTTGTGGCAATCGTTCTGAAGAAATTGATGCCTCTTTATATTTAGTAAAAAATCACTTTTCGACCCACTTCATTTTTACACCATAAAAAAGCATTTGTCGATTTTCTATTTTGTTAGACTCTCTTGATTTTACTGGAACCTCTATTTAGAATTCTGTTATAATTTAGGCTTCCCACAGTTGATTGTTTCATTTTATTACATTTTTGTTGGTCATATCTAGCTGACTTTGTTACAGTTAACACATGGTAATTCTCTTGACCAGCTGTAAATGAAATCAAAATGCAGTCACATAATATTTTTTTTTTTTTTTTTCTTTCAAACCAATTGGAGTTACATCAAGCAAAAGTGCAGATGTTATAAATGTTCATTAGGACATTTATCCATAACTGGTACTAAATCGTGCTACTTGGTGACAATTTCATGATTGATGGGATAATAGGTAAGTTTGATTGCTAATTTAATTTTCATGAAAGTGCTTTGATCAGTAAGAGCATTCATTATGTACTGAAGATTTTCTCAGCATAAAAGTGTAACAACATTGCAGAATGAAGTAAGTCAAAGACCATTAAATTTAGGGTAATTAAATATTAATCTATTTTACATGGTAATCATATTATAAACATTTAAGTAATCTGAATCATGTGCTGTAAGCCAATCTGGAGTTCTTTTTGAAATGGTGCTGCTGCTTGGTACAAAAACTTTCCCCAAATTACTAATTTTGGGTATGAGAATCTTTCAGGTTTCATATTTCAAGGCTGGAACAATATAGTTTTTCATCTATTGTTGGTAGAGTAAGACATTACTTATTTCTCATTCTTTTTTTTTCCCGGGAGGGGAGATTATTTCTGTTGGCTTTCATTCTAGAACATGCAGCTATTTTTTCCCATAATGGTGGTTATAACACTTCTCTTCAAGTTTCTATGATGTTTTTAATTTTTTTTTATTCCACATAATTTCTCGTTTGATACCCATTTTATGATGTGTGTATACAATTTAAAATGTTATGGTTAAATATTAAAATGATTTTTTAGATAGTTAAAACAATGCTGAACCACAAAGAACTGAACCCACTATAATTCCAGAATATGAATAATTTTATTACTCTTTCAAATTGCTTGTGCATGAATAACATTGTTATAAAATTCCAAAAGATTATCAAGTTTCTACACGTTGCAGTAAAATATTTTCTGATATTGAATTATCTAAGTTTGATATTTTGGTAAATCTTATTTTATAACTAAGTATTTGTGACATTTGAAGAACAGTCTTGTAACAGTTGGAGTTGTGCAATGTAAAAATTATCTGATGCAATAAAGAGTTCAAATGCTTATACTGTGCCACATTCAGAGATTAGCATTATTTTACTTTTGCATGTCATTATATGAACTGATTGAATTTAGCTGAATGTACTAGAATTTAACATAATTGTCTGAGAAACATGTCTTATTTGTGAAATTTTCTCATATAGTCTGTGTTTTTTATATTTCAGAAGAATGAAAAAATAGCTGATATTTTAGAAAGAGAAATATTTAATCAATCCAACAGGCTAATCTCAAAAAGTTACAAGAAGACTGTGCGTAAAATTATATTTGTATTGAGACATGATGCTGCTGAAAATGCAGCACTGAAAAATGGGAAAGTAACGCCTGTAAGCTTTGCTATAAAATATAGGCGATGATTTTTATACTAAACTTGTTCAAATCTAGAATGTTTAGTCTTAATGAATTTGTAAATAGTTCACACTAATAAAATATAATTTTGTATTTTAAATTTAAGTAATATGTATCATATTCATTATTTCACATATTTTTTATTCATGATAAAAATATTAGGTTTCATGACATGAAATTTTATAGCATATGTTTATTTTCCTATTGCAGATTAATAGTGTTTCCTTTTATTGATATAACAAAACATTATTTTTGTTTTTGATAAAAGCAGTGAATATTGTTTTTATTTTTTCCAAGCAATTAAGCGGTGCCACTATGGTAAACAAATATAGTGAATTTTAAAGAGTACGTTTATTCTATTGTGGTTTATGCGCTATCGACGAAGTAGATTTAATTCAATCCAATAACAATAATTTAAAGGAAATGCAAGAAAAACTGTGTGTAATTTAATATTCTGTACAAGGAAGTTGTGTACACATCAGATTTTTTGTATTGCATTACCAATCAGCATCGCTATCCCAGAAAAATAATGTATTGAGACATTGGCATACTATTTCATTGACACTTTTCAAGAAAGGAAAATCTTGTATCCTTTAGATGTATGCTATCATCTTTTTTTTTCTTTAATTTGCATATTTTGGTACTTATGTAATTACTCCTGCAGAATTTTATTGCTGTTAACAGGGTTTTGAAGATGATATATTCCATATTGGGAGCACTGATACTTCGTTTAAGAGGTTCTGTGAGATAATCCACAAAGTTGCTAAAAAGTGGATTCCCATAGAAAAACCTCGCAATTACAAACTATTCTGGTCTCCATATCTCCAGACCCTGAAATACCAGTGAAACAAGGCTCGTATTTCTGCTGAGCAGTGAAGGAGAGCCAAGGAAGTACAAAACTGGAGGAAATGTGTTGCTTCACTTCGAAAGGAAATTTATGTGACAAGGCAGAAAAGTTTTAATTCTTTTATTAGCACAACAAATTATAAATCTGATTCTAAGACAGTTTTTAAGTATGTTGACAACCTAAAAGCTGGCCCTTCCCAAATTATTAGGGCCTCCTTGAAGGGGACTCTAATAATTTATTCTATTGATAAGGGGGGAGATCGTCATGCATTTTAACTAGTCACAAAGATACCGCAAATACTTTTATCTCATTTTATTCTAAATCACAAAGACTGAGTCAAGATTCCAGAAGAACTCAAAAAATTTTGGAAAATAATATTCATAAAGCTGTAACTGATGTTGGCCCACATCAGTTGGTGTTTAGTGCTGACTTTACCAAATTTGAACTCGAAGACTCTATTAAATACCTTAAAAATGGAAAGAGCCTATGCTCAGACTGTCTTCACCCAGAATTTATTAAGAAACTCTAGGGCCTAATGGTTGTTCAGTGCTTTTAATGTTGATCATACCAGAAGCTGGAACTCTAACATACCAGTAATTTGGAAGAAAGCTATTATTGTCCCAATACGATAAGCAGGGCAAACCTTCTGACAAATTCGATGGATATGGGCCGATAGCCCTTATGAGTATTTTGGCAAAAATTAGAGTGGATGATCACTGGAAGACTGACCTGGTTTCTCGAGCCCACGGTCTTATCTGTAACTCTCCAGGCAGGCTTTAGACATTTTCATTCCACTGCTCAGCAGGTGGCCTACCTTAACCAAAATATTAAGGATGACAGCTGCAGATCTGCTATGATGGCCTTTGTTGACTTCTCGTCAGCGTATGATAAGGTCTGGCGCCCTCAGTTAATTTGTAATATGATTTCTAAAGGAATTAGTAGCAATGTGTTGCACTGGCTACGTGATTACCTTGGCCAGCAGTTCAGTGAAATTTGAAACTCTATCCATATTCCATACTTGCCAACCCATGACACTAAAAAATCAGGAGATTTTTCACAATGTTAAAAAGACTTTTTAAATGATGAAAATATAGTTTTTAATAATGAATTAACTTTAACTAATTCTTAAATGCAAGCAACACAAAAATACCTTACACATAAAAAACATTTTTATTACTTGCATCGTTTAAGAAAACAGAAAAAAAAAAAAAAAAAAAAAAAAAACTTTAATCAGTTTTCGTACAAATGTTATAAACAGTGGCAGATTTTGCTTTCTTTAAGAAAGAAACTTTATAATTTTGTTCATAGCAATTGCCACGTAGGCCTGCTCTTGCTAATAAAAGTTTTCCTAATGTGTCATCACTAATTTTAGATCTAAATTTAGTCCTCGTTTTCGCAACAACACTGAAAATCCTCTCACACTCTTCATTACTATGGGGAACTGTCAAGATGGCCAACATAATTCTAGACAGTTCACTATACTTTAAAATTCCATCAGCATCTTTCAGTTTTCCAATTAAACTCCACTGGGTGTCAATCCTAGCTGATTTTATAACTTCATCCAAGTTTTCTAATTGTAAACTGCTGTTATGCAGCTATTGGAAATGTTTCAATTTTTCCTTCCTTTTAGAACTCCTTTAAAGATAATAGTAAATATCAACAATGTGTTCATCCACATTTGTTGGTAAAGAAGCTGCCCCTTTTTCAGCTGCTAAATTTAAGAGGTGACAGGTGCACCTCATAATCTGTAAATCTGAATTTTCCTTTCTTAAGATGCCAGTCTTCAAGCCTACCAATACTGGTGCATTATCGGCACCAAGTGCTAAGCAATTATCCAGAAGGACTGCATTTTCTTTTAAAGTTTTAATAATTAGCGCTGTGCTACAGTAAAGCCTGTCAAATGCCCTTCTAAAGTGGGGACAGAAAGTAAACTGCACTCATTTCCTGAAGACTCTGGATTAAAAAAGAAACAATTGGATACAGTTTTGAATCAGTATTATTGCTTCCATCCGTAGAGAGGCAGAACGGAGCTGTTTTAATGCAATCAATAACTGAAGATTTATTTTTCAAATCCATTTCTTTAACAATTGCACCTGTTTTGGTCCTTGCACTTGAGTATTTCTTAGCGATTTCACTATCGGGGAACATTTTTCTAAATAAAGCTGCAATGTGATCCGATGCATTCAGTTGCAGGTTGTGCTCTAGTAAAAAGGCAGAGAACAGATATTCTGCATTAATAACTTTTTGGTCCTTTGTTTCCGAAGAAAAAAAAAAAAAAAAAAAATTTTTTTTTTTTTTTTTTTTTTTTTTTTTTTTTTTTTTTTCAAAACAACTCATGTTGTCCTTGTGTTTTTGTGTACGTACATGTTTGAGAACATCCGCCCTTCCACCATGCGGAATCGAAAAATCGCAGTGACAGGCGGTACACATCGCGAATTTATTACATTTCCTGGAGGAAATAATGGAAGGAAAGTCAACTGTGTACGATTTTTGAAACCTACACGAGTATTTCACCTTTCTCGCAGACATAACAAAAGATGATAATTTCTAAAACTATTTTCCGAAGGCACGTGTACTCACACAACTTGGGACAAAATGACCGAAATAACTAAAGACCATAAAAGCCAGCTTGCTTTGTGCTCATTGTCTATAACAGATGACTGCAGTGGAGCTTGCCCATTGGAGAACTGAGAACAACGTTTCTGGAATTCAACACAAAGCAGAAATTCTTATCTGATTTGCAAGGTTTTGTTTTAGATATAATCAGAAAAATTTCAATTGCCAGATGTCAAAATCACTTTTTTTGTTCATATAACAAAGTATTAAGCCAAGTTCCATAAAAATCATGAGAAATTTTAAGAATAAGAAAAAGTCGAGAGAAATATCGGGTTGGCAGGAGAGTGGTCGAAAATCGGGAGTCTCCCGCCTAAGTTGGGAGTGTTGGCAACTCTGATATTCAAACAATTGGAATCTGGAAAGGTGTTCTTTTAAGGATCTGACCAATTCCATTCTAGACCTGGCAATAAGTTTAATGCTTGTGGTGATGCGATAAGGAGCGCGCCTTGCGCCCTCCGATAAGTGTGGCAACCCTAGAGGAGAAGTTTCTTACGAGTAGCGAGCAGAGCGAAACAGGCAGGCTGTCGGGCAGTGTGCGCGAAGTTCCTAAATAAAGCTTAATTTTTATTGTGCACTATGTCTTGTTAATATTTATATTAATGCAGTAAGAACATAATCTGTGATATGGAATTCGAGGATTGGTGGTAAAAACATAACCGGAAATCACCATAATGGTAACCCGGACTGTGTTAAATCGTATGAACAGTTCTCAAGCACTTTCGGTTTTGACTACAAGCCATCACTCAAGATCTCCAAACCAGAAGTAATGGATTACATCGGTTTTCATCCTCCGGATCACAGATGAGTAGTAATTATAGATCATTTTATAATTCTGTTTTCTACTTATCATTTAATTTCATTTTCTTTAGTTAAATTTTTGCTTTTATTTTGGCTTAAAAACCTTGCACAATGTCTGATGTTCATGCCGTCCAAATTCCGGTTTATAACCGATCAGACCCATCTTTATGGTTTATTATGTGTGAAAGTACCTTTGCTCTTGCCACCCCCAAACCTATCACAGAATCCATTACTAAATATAATTATGTAGTTTCTCATCTTCCTCCAGATATCGCATCACTAGTACGGGATTTACTTATGAAACCAGACCCTATTGATCCATATGCAAAGCTTAAAACTGAGTTAATAAATCGTTCAGGAGAATCTTCTCAGCAAGAAATTCGCCAATTATTATCTGGAGAAGAATTAGGTTCTCGAAAACCTTCCGATTTGCTTAGAAATATGAAACGTCGAGCAGAATCTTTAAATGTTCCTGATAACTTAATGTTAGAATTATTCCTTCAACGTTTGCCTTCGACTGTTCAGTCTATTTTGGCAGCGGTTTCCAATTTAACTGTAGATAAAGCTGCAGAAATTGCCGACAGAATTTTAGAAGTAAATCCAATCCCAGGGACTTGTGCCGTTTCTCTCACACAGTCTATCAGTCTCTTGAAAATAAATTATTTAAACAAATAGAAAAATTAAACAAACGTATTGATCGCATTTCTCTTTCTCGTGGTCGCTCGCCAAATCGCGGAGATCGCAATAAGGAAAGAAGCAATTCCAAAAGGAGAGATTATTCTGTTTGCTGGTATCATAGACGTTTTGGGAAAAAGTGTAGAGATGACAAATGTACAAAACCTTG